CCACGCTAACACATCACCACCACACTAACATCATCACCACGCTAACATCACGTCACCACACTAACATCATCACCACGCACACTAACATCACCACCACCACACCAACATCATCCACCAACATCACCACCACCATCATTAACATCATCACCACCACACTAACATCACCACCACCACAATAACATCATCACCACCACACTAACATCATCACCACGCCAACTTCAACATCACCACCACCACACTAACATCACCACACCACTAACATCATCACCACCACCATCCACGCACATCATCACCACCACATCATCATCACCACCACTAACATCACCACACCACTCACACTAACATCATCACCACGCACCACATCACACACCATCATCACCACCACATTAACATCATCACCACTACACTAACATTACCACCACCACGCTAACATCATCACCACCACACTAACATCACCACCACCACACTAACATCATCACCACGCTAACATCACCACCACCACACTAACATCACCACCACCACACTAACATCACCACCACATTAAGGACTCACCACTTCATGCTACAGGCGTTTATACACCTCTAGTTGAGCCGTGGGAATAAATCCGGGAGGTCCTTTGATAAATCAGATCCTGAACTCCTACGGTAAGGACTCTGGCGCCAGGACCTCTAGTACTCACCCACTGTGCAAACACGGCTCTCTCTCTCTCTATCTCTCTCTCTCTCTCTGGGCGGCCAATTATGGTAGGGATGGCAGCGTATATGGGAGGACTTGATCCCGATTTGATTTAAAGAACGTTTGGTATATTCTTTGGGGGATTGTTGTTGTTTTAGGGGGTGGGATTGTTGTTTTAATTAGAGGTTTAGTGTTGTTCTATCAGTTGCTTTAAATTGTTATTATACTTGTTATTTTAGGTTCGTGTGACTCCCTATAAAATAATCTTACACACACACACACACACACACACACACACACAATCATTTTAACATTAAACCCCTAACATTAAACCCTTGAAAATATGTAAACCTATTTTAAGGGGATTTAACTTATGTGAATAATATAAGTAATTAGGTTAGGGTGTTTAAACTTGAGGTGAATTGAGCTGGGGTGGTGACTCTTGAGGTGAGGCGTCAACATTGTCATCCACTTAATTCATCCTGGTAAAGGTAAATCTCACCCTTG